TATTATCAGGACAACTGGAATCCACCAATGCTGGCCAATTTTTGGTGACACTTCAGCAAGATACATCATACATCGGGTACAAACAAAAATCAGCAGCAAAATGCTGTTAGCCTTATTGAACTCATGCAGCATGTCAGAAACATTATGCAATTAAAAACAATATAGTCATTAAAAATTAATTTCATATTTCTCAAGATTTCCACATGATATAATCATTCAAACTAGGTTCAGTTTGAAGGAGTCTTCATAATAATCAAACATTTTTCAAGAAGCAAAACTTGAAAAAAAATATTGTCCATTGATAATAATGACATTTCTACCAAAAAAGCTAACAGTGCAGTTTCCCGTAATTTTGAAATAAAAAATAAAAAACATTTTTAAACTCTCATGAGTTGTTTGATGACTGCCATATATGTGGCAATATACAAGTATTTAAAAACTTAATCCCAGACAATCCTATCATGTTATACTGTAGCATTGGTGTGCCCATACTATTTTGCCATCAAAAGCCTGTCTGCACCTGCAGCAAAATATTCAGTTGAAATGTTTACTAAAGGTATGTAGTAACAAGAATAGTAAAAAAAACATTTTAGAGAATATCTCCTAATACAAACTTCAAATAATTTTACCACCGGTTCGCCGAAAATGAGTGTGTGCGGCATCTGCACATGCGTATGCACATGGCTTCTGCCACGTGGCGAGGCTCGACTGAGAAGCCTTTCGGAGCCCGCTCCCCTCCATCTCTGGTTCTTCGGGGCAGCGGCTGTTTCTCTCCATATTGCTGGGAGAGCACCTTGTGCAATTTAGCAGCTTTCAAACGCCGCTCTCTTCTAAGTCCCATCCAGAAAGCTCTGCGGCACAGAGAAGCAGCAGCCATGTTGAAAGCTGTTTCCCTCAGCCGCAGTGCTTTCCAGATGGGACTTAGAAGAAAGTGGTGGCTCATAGCTGCTAAATTGCACAAGATGCTCTACCAGCAAAAGCAGCAGCAGAGAGAAGCAGCTGCCAACCCAGACAGCACATGGACCATCTCCGCAAGCAACCGAGACTCGGCAAGGGACAGAAGAAGTGGCTGCAAGATCTCCACTGCAGTGCTTTCCGGGTGGGACTTCTTACAGGTAAAAAGAACTGTCCAGTCCATTCCCAAATTGCTTCAGCCCTCCTGCGCCCACCCCCCCACCCCCCATGGCCTTTCAGCCTAGTGCATGCCACAGGCCGAATAAATTGCTTTGGCCCTGGTAGGCATAGTTTGAGGCCAGAGGGGGGCAGAGGCAGGTAGGCAGAGGCCCAGGGCAAGGCCGGAGCAGGGGAATGGCATGTTCCTCAACCCAGCTGAGACAAATGGCAAACAGGCGGAGGCTCTGGGGCAAGGCCGGAGCCAGAGAATGGCGCATTCTCCGACCAGGCCGAGGTGAAGGACGAGCAGCGGCATGCTCACCTTTGGTGAGCAGAGCAGGCAAGGCATGGAGGCGAGGCGATTAGCTGGGTCGCATGGCAAAGGCAAGATATATAGGGCGGGGTGGGGTGGGACAGGTAGTGCAATTTTCCAGTTCTCCAAACTGTGCAGAATCATTACTACTGGTTAGATAGAACCGGTCCGAACTGGCTGAATACCACCTCTGATTTACATCATGCTTAACTAATGCTGTCATTTGAACTCAATAGTCTGGACATTTCCAGGTTTGAAAATGGAAATTTATATCCAAGGTTTTACCCATGTGCATCCAAGGTTAGTTACTAGTACTTTTACAAAGAGAGCATTTTGAGGCTATTTATCCCTCTCAGTTTCTAAACCCAGAGAAAATAATTACCATAGAATATCCATCATACAACATAGGCTTCTCCTATTGTGTGATCTCCTTTCTTCTCTCCTTCAAAAACTTATGAGGAACTGGAACTGTGACAGAAGGTGAGTAGAATAAGTCATTGCCAATCCTATCTCTGGTGGCTCCATCTGATCAATTTCTGTGAATTTTATGTTTTAAATTATATGGAAGAAAGTTATTGTGAACAATCTACTACATAGTTAGGTGGAAGGCTGTCCAAAATAGCTCCTCCATAGCAAATTGAGACTGTCATGTTTCTTGGTATATGTCACTAAAGTAAGTAACTTACTCATTGTTCGTATCAGATTCAGTTGAGCATTTTCAAACTGAACTGATATGAAGTGCAAACCAAAATATCCTAGATATATATGACTGAATATTTGTGACATATTGTTATGTCATATTGTTAACATTCTTGTTCGTGTTACAAATAGTATAAATCTGCAAAATTAATTTAAAGAACAGCAATATACTGGCAGACTGCCTTAGACAATACAGTATTATAAAAACTCATTTTTAATTATTAACATTTTCTGACAACTCTTTATTAGAATAAACTTAGACAACTTTTGGGTGGCATGAACTATACTTAATTGCTTTGAAAATAGCACAGCCACATTTTAGGTTTCTGCAACAGTTTTTAAAATTTTCTCTTAAACTGCACTGCTGAAATTCAATAACTTGAACTGCTAAAATTAATACAGGTTGCATAAGGTTGCATTTTATAAATCCCTGTATTGTATATTAGCCCAAAATTGTAAGATGAAAAGCACCTACAACTTATTTTAAAATGTCCAGATATCAGAGAAAAAAACAGATACAGACTCACAGATAAGAGTTATGTATTTCCCTTCAAATATTTTTAAAACACACCCTTTATTTTAAAAATTAGTTGTCTTAAGCGTGAAGAACTATTACCTACAGATCATACCAACCGCAATGCTGCATCTACAGAGGAATTTCTGTTCATCAATTACTTACTACCAGAAGTTATACAGATTTCTTTCATGAAAGCAGCATCTACTGATCATTCATGAATTGTGTTGATTATATTTGTGTATATAATTCACAAACATAATTATTAGCATGATCCAGTAATTAAATATGACCTGGATGGGATGCAAATTATGTGGATTTAGAGCAGGTATCAAAATCATACTGAATGTGTGCTTATCAACAGATAAGCATCTGAAATACCATAGAATTTGGCCATCCTCACGTTTTTAAATATTTTTATTTCAGGCTTAATTCAGACAATAGAGAATACTTATTATAGGTCCAGTTGACCCATAAATGATGGAACAGCTTATATGCTAGAAGACAGAAGCAATTAACAATGGTCTTGATTTATAAGTGGGCTGAAAATAATAATTTTAAATAGGGAGCAGAAACCAAATGTACAGATACGAACTTGGGAATATCTTTCAATAGTGCACAGGTGTCAAACTCGCAGCGTCATGTTGTCATCACGTGACATTTCACTTTGTTTTCCCTCTTTGCGGAGCTGGGGTGGGCATGGCTTGCGCATGATGCATCCGACCCATGGGCTGCCAGTTTGACACCCCTGCAATAGTGATTTGAATCACAAGTGCGATGTGACTGCAAAAAAGGCAAATGCAATTTTTGAATATATCAACAGAAATACAGCTTCCAAATCTTAAGAAGCAATAATTCTACTTCAGTACTACTTATTAGTTGTCACCAGAATTCTGTCGTCTCCAAGCATCATACTTTACAGAATTAGCCAAACTGGATCAAGTTCAAAAAACAGCAATGAAAATGATCATGAGATTAGAAGGATAGACAGAAGGAATTAGATATGCTTTGCCATAAGACAACTGAGAGAGGATATGAGAATACTTTTCTAAGCGCCAGAAAGGGTACAAACACTGAACATCAAGATCTGTTCTCCATCAACCCAGATACGGAATTATGAATTTAGGTTACAAGACAGCAAATTTCAACTGAATGTTAAGAAGAAAATCCTAACAGAAAGAGGACAACCACTTATTCAAAGAAGCACTTTTGATTCCCCAAAAAGTGGATGAGTTTAGCAGAAGCAGATGTATACAACCGATTTATCATTGTTTTCATAAGAATTCTTCCTTTGAACAGAGAATTGACCTTCATGGTTTAAAGCAGAGCTGTCAAACTCCTGGCCCGCAGGCTGGATGCATCACGTTCTGGCCAAGCCAAGTTTAGCAAAGGGGAAAAAAGTCCCGATATGTCATGTGGTGCCGCTGTGTGTCCGTGAGTTTGACACCCCTGGTTTGAAGGGTATCTTTCAATTCCATTATTATGAGTATCTTTTCCTGTAACTATTCAAAATAGCATTTGTGATAGTCATTATAAAAAAATAGTATTAACTTCAGCATTCACTATGGCTGATTTCATGCACTAGTCTGTCATATTTTAACTGTGATTTATTGAACAAATCTGATTAAATTCACACAGCTCATACACTATAGTTGTCAAATCACTACAGCTGACTTTGTACAATATGATAAGCTACAAATGCAAACAGACCACCTTTTGGTTTAATGTGCTGAATAAGCTCTATAAGTTTCCAACCCACAAATTTCAATGCAACCCAAATAACAGTATCTAGGATAACATGCGGATTCAATATAACCTGCTCTTTTGCAAAAAATGGAAGTTTTTTGTAAACTACTTGCAAACAAATCTGACTTCAATACAACTTTTTTTTCTCTTCAAAATCAATTTACCTTTTAAAAAGTATTAAATAAAAGCATGCTTACGAATGCCTCTGAGGCAAGAGCAGACTAAATAAACTTCAGAACTCATTTATATATAGTTAATAGAATCACTTTGGTACTGGGTTCTTTAGCTGCCATGTATATTACTTTAAACAAGGTACAACAATGTGGACAAGACAACTTAATTTGTAATATTTTTGTACCTGTGCAAAAACACATGAAAATAGTTTAAGAATATACTAATATATGTAAACATAGTTGCTGTTTGTACAATATTCTTAACTGAACTATGGTTTAATCAATTAACCAAAATGTATGGTTTGCATAGCAAATTAAATTAACAGCATATGTAAGGTTCATATATCATGTTAGCCTAAATGTGGTTGAATATATCATGTAATCACTGGCAGTGACTTATTCCTGTATATATAAATGTTTCATATCAAGAAAATGTTCTTACCTGTATATCCTGCCCACCAGCCCCAGGATGCCACCATGGCTAAAAGCCATTTAAATAAAATTCCTTCGATATACCAAAACCATTTATTATCCAACAATCGAAGAGGTTGCAGTACTATCATGTACAGAATATAGGATGGAATAGCAACAAGGTTATTAGCAACCATGAAGCTAAATCTTAACATTGCTTTCAGAAATATATAGCCTGCCCTTTGGGCCTTCTCCACAGTTATAGCCATTCTTTTCACACAGAAGTTTGTAGTCTTTTCCTACAGGACAAGAAAGAGAAAAATTACTCAGCACAAAGTACACAACTTCATGTTTTTTAGAAAATCCTTCTTGATCAAAAAGGTTTTCATCTAAAAATATTGTAATATATTTTGCAAGTATTTTCACATTTTTTTTAATTTTCTAGATTACTACATTAAGGATCATTCTCAAATACTTTTTTAAAACCATAATAAAATTTACTGCAGGCTAATAATGAGAATTATTAATCTTTATTGTTGTTATATTCACAACTGTTAGAAGAAATCTTACAAAACTGTTCCTCATACCACTAGGGTTTATGTTTTACAAGAATATACATTTTACAAGATTATACATGTATAAGGATATGTTTTATCTCTCAATAAGATACTTGCATATGAAGTATATTTTCATTTTCAATGTCTTAAGTATGCCACAGCAAGCGTACTAAAGAAATGTTCATTCTATTTGGTAACACAGAAAACCTAATTATGATATACAAAGGGCAGATCTTTTGAGACAAACAATTCCCTTTGCTTTTCCTCCATAAAAATTGTAATTGTCCTTTATTTTGCAAGAGGAAATATAGGTAAAGAAAAAAAAATGAAAACGTGCTGACTATTATGCTTTTAAGTGTATGCCTTGAGATTTTAGTATGAAGCACTATAGAAATGCTTTCCTCTAAATGATTTTGAAAATGACAAACCCATTAATTAGCAACATGATTAAAATTATCTCAACTCCTAAAGTACAAGAAGGAAACAGTGAAATAAAAATCCAAAAGGAAGCATCAATTTATATGACAAATAGGGAGCAAAGGGGAACAAAGACTAGAGACTCCATCCCAAAGGACTTATCTTGGAGTAGGACTTACTAAATTCAACGCTTGTATCTGGAGTATGTAGAATAAATACTAAAGGGTTGGGGAAGAAGAATAGAAGAAAGGCAGGCTCAGCCCACACTATTTACTGGATCACTCACCTTCTGCTGCGCAGAGGAAAAGGAACAGGAGGGCCCAGAGAAGTGGGCCTGATGGCCTTAGCAATAGAGGGGGGTGCCTTGATCGGTGGCTGCCAGTGAAGAAGGAAGTGGAGGCAGCGGCTGCAACTCTGGCGGGATAACGGCGGTCTCATGGACATGGAGGTTGCTGGCCTGGACCCAACGGAATGGGCAGGGAACACTCCCTATTTCCTTTGCACTTCTCTGAGGGGGTAAAACAAACAAACAACGGAGGTAGAGCCCGAAAAGAGCACAAATGCCGGAGACAGCCACGTTACAAGGGAAGGCGCCGTCCAGAGGACCTATCGCACCCTAACAAGGTTTGCACAATATTCGGGGCCTAGGGCGATTCGCGCGCCTTCCCCAAGAGAAGAGGCTGAATTCCACCGCGAATCACCCCGGTTGGCGTATCCGCTTCTCCTCCCGGGAGAAAGAGGGCAGCAAGCGCAACTCCCGCACCTGTTGGGATATCGGAGCGCCGTAAGGCAGGAAAAAGACGCGGAGGATCTCTTAAATCTCAGCCGCCGCTGTGGAATATTTCGGATCACGGGAGACAGGCTCGAGCTCTTTGGACATGCCCAAGTTTGCAAGGGTTTCAAAGAAAAGAGAAGCTCTATTCGTGCCCAGGCCAAACAGAGAACTAAGCGTGTGCTCAGAAGCATTTACGCTGTTTAAGTAACGGAAGAGAAGGTCTTTTCGAAAGCATCGGGAGCGACCCATTCACCTATATGAAATCCCTCGAAATACACTATTACCTGATATTCACTAGAAAAAGAAAAAAAAACCTGGAATTTCCCCTGGCGTCCTCTAATGGCGCGAGGAGTTGGAATCTTCAACCTTTGTTCCAATTCAGGGCCAAAAGAAAGGATCCTAGCGGGAACAGAGTACATTCCGGGTGAAACCCGGCCACAAACTTTATAAATGTTGGGAATGGGTCTCTCCCAGGAACTTGAATTGGCTCCTTCCTCCCGGTTGAGAACTTCTTTCAAGGGCACTAACGGTGTGCCTCCTCAGCCTCTCAAGTGGAGGGACCTTTCGCAAACAGCACCGTTGCCAACCTAGGACACTCGTGGGTCGCTCTCCTCCTCCGACCGACCTCCGTCGTCTCCCGCCCGCCCCCCCGGAATGAAAGCCCCGAAAGGGTCATGTTCCCCAAGGCATCTCCCCGCTTTGCCCAAAATGAGCCCAGGGAGGCAGCCGTGGACATGACGTCCCTTTTCAAGTTCAACCTCGGGCTCCAGGGCAGCTTCCTCAAGGGCGACAGCCGCCCTCCTCCATCACCGCCGCCACGCCGCGCCGCTCACCCAGAGCAAGGGGAGGATCCGAAGAGAGCGCCAATGAGAAGGAAGTGCCCCGACCTCGCCTCGGGCGGCAAGGAGTGGGGGGTCCCTTCAAGGGCGCCAAGAGCCTGTCCCCAGCTTCTCCCCCAGGAGGGGCTGTTTCCCGAAGAGCCCCAGGGAAGCCAGGGCGACAGTAGCTTTGAGGCTCCCTCACTCATCTCGCGCCCCCTTCCCTTCTCGAGAGGTGCCGCTCGCGGGCAAAGGATGGGTGGGGACTTTCCTACCTCCGACCAGGCGGCTTTCCTTCCAGGGCCGTTTCTGAGGAGCCCGTCGGATTCATAACGGTGGCAACCGTGGCCGCCAGGGCCCTCGCCCACCTCGACTGCCGCGAAGAGGCTGCGCCGTGACCCCTCGACGCCGCCTCTTTCTCCTGCGGCTAATTCGGCTCGCCGGCAAGTTTCGCTGGCTCTCGAGGAGGTGGAAGCGAAGGCAGGAGCAGGTCGCTCGCTGCAGCAAGCCCCGCTGTCTCCGGCCGATAGCTCCCTCTAACGAGCCGAAGCTTAGCAGTCCGGCTTCGTCCGTCCCTCCGCCCGCCAGTCAGCCAAACTCCCGGCGGGCTGGGCCTCAGCAGGCCGCCTCCCTCGCAGCTCCCCTCCCCGGTCCCGGAAGAGGCAGCGAAAGCGCGTCCTTCTTCCCTCTAAAAGGAACGCGAAAGTCAGAATATCGGAGAAACGGCGACAAGAATTGCAGCCAGTAAAAAATGCAAAGAGATTTAGCAGCCCTTCCCGTTGTCCTCAGGCTTGAAAGGCTGTATCGGCAGCAAGAAGAGGATATGAATGGGCAACCTGACAGCGCCACGGCCTTTGCACACTTCGTGGCTAGCGAGTCTTGAACTTAAAAAGTCGCGTTAGGAGATTAAGATTGGTGGTGCAAAAAAACAGCCGTACCACCCCATATCTCACTGGGGTGAAGGCCTGGAGAGGCTGCAAGAGAAAACTTGAGCCAGGGCCTATTGAAAGTAAAACTGTTGTAGGCAGGAATAGGCTGAGGATAACAAAGTACGGGTCTGAAAGGAGGCCTTCAAAGGAATTTTTTAAAAAATGATGTTGAGTGGTAAGGAATAAAACCTCACTGAGTTTAAGGACAGAAGCTGAATGAGAGAGTTCAGCCTGGTAATCCAGCAAGTGAAATGGGACTAAAAAGCGTACAGTACAGTTTCGGACATACCTGTAACACCTTTCTACTCTAATTTCCACTGTTGAAGACTGTTGGATGCATGCATATCTGTGGTGACCTGCATTTTTAGCTAAAAATAGTTATAGTTGCATTACTTTTACTTCTGTTTATTATTGTATTTTTCTAAGCATTTGCATATAAGTAGACTGGCTTGTCTACAAAGAAGAGATAACGCCAAGGAAGTGCTGCAAAGTCTGCAAAAATTTAAACTTTATAAAAACACTAAAATAGGATATTCTGCAATGACTCAGAGAAGTATTAATCTGCCAACAGTTGTTTAGGGACAAAACATAAAGACGTTCTGACAGGAACAACTAGCTGGAGCTCTGAATGTATTCTGTATTACAATTTTATATTGTTTTCTCTGAATCTATATGTAACTAAAACCACATAACACAAAACAACATAATTGCATGATATACCTTGGAACCATGATAAACTGAACTAAAGGCATCTTATGCAATATGCCATTGATTTACATCTATATTTTCTTACGAGACATTGGGAGAAAAAAAATAAGAGTTGGCTGAATTAAGGTGATTTGAACTGAAATTTGTAGTGACTTTTAGGAGGAGCTCTGGTTTCAACTAAGGCTTGCAGGAGCACACGTGACCCGGGAGTCTCAATATACATACATACATACATACATATTTGATTAGAATATATCTTCCAGAATATATTCTTCAATTAGTTATTTAGGCAGATAGTATAGTACTAATTTGATCAGATGTACTTTGTACAAATATTTAAATTTATACTGTTTGTCATTTCAGCAAAGCTAAATATTTAATGCTTCAAGCTTTAATAATCATTTGGTCTGGATCCATTACATCACTGAAATTTCAAATATGTTTAAGATCAACTCCACTCACTGTTAAGTGAGGCAACTCTGAAGTCAAGCTTTATCTTGAATTGCAAAATCTGCAAATGAATTAAGTGAGACATTAAATTTTATATAATTTATATAAATATTGTTTGGACAAACAAACTTTGTAATCAAATCCTTATTAAAGCCACAAATATGTGACTGATGTTCATCCATAATTTCTAACTATCTAAACATTATCAATCTCTTCGATAGAATTCATGGTGCTAAATCACTGTTATACTATTGCAGGCCTGTCAAACTGGAGGCCCAAGGACTGGATGTATCACATGCAGGCCACACCCACCCCAGCTCCGCAAAGGCAAAAGACATTGCGATATGTCAAGATACATAACATGACATGATCGAGTTTGACATCTGTGTACTATTGTGTACACTTCCACAGAGGCTGTGTTCTAATAATACTATTTGTTCATTTATTGAAAACATCTCAGTTGACTGGGATTAAGCCATTTTCTGTGCAATAAACAGTTATTTACAGTCACAGCATCTGAGTTTACACAGCATCCTAGCAAAACAAAGGAACCAAATTTTGGTTTAGAATTTACATGTGAACCATTACACAGAAACCCATTTATTCAATAATCCCTGTCTAAAATAAAGCATATCTTAGAACTTTATGCACTTTCAACTATTTTTATCATTCCTATAATTAGTCATTAACAAAGTTTATTCAGCAAATCTAAATACCATAGAACATAATCATTTAGTAGGCATACATAGGAATACACTATGACTTCAAAACAACCGTGTTTACATAAGCAATGCAATTTTCTACTTCAATCACAAATGGCTGTCATTCCATGCAAATATCTATAATTAAATCTTCAGTGTCTTTAGAAAGATTTATTTCTAATATATACAACATTCCTGAGTATAAACATGGAACCATTATTGATCAGTACAAACAGAACTGTGCTAAGTGAACTGATTATCTGAATTTGTATAAGATATGGTACATTCCTAGCAGAAATACTACTGTGTGATTAAGTTAACAGTTTGTTCCACCTCTGGAAACCTCCAGCACTAAGACATCATTGAAACTTTCTACTTCCCCTATGACTGACTATTTGGCACACATTAAATGACAATTTTCAGTTACAGCTAAAAGTGTCAACTTTATATTCCACAACACTGATCTTAATAGACCTTGTATATTTAATACTTCAGCCAATTTTTTTGAATTAAAAATAAGATTATTACCTACATAGAGTAAAATCTTCCATTTGTATCATATACGATAATGTGTTAATTTCTTCTACATTTCAGTTTTCAGTAAGTGAGGATATTTATCTTTGAAGAAGATAGGTATCACAGGACACCATTTGACATGAACGTTGCTTATTTGTGACCTGTCAGTAGTTTCAGATTATTTAATACTTGATAGTTAACTTATTTTTTCTAGTATTTTGAGTCAAATCACGTTATTCAAGCGATTTCAAATTACGGTACAATATGCTACAGCTAACATATTTGATACTTTTTTATTCCTGTCTTGTTAAAACTTCCTCTTGATTACAAGATGATGATCTTTTCCACTAACTCAGCTGTTCCATTATGCCATTGAAAAAAGGTAGTTTATTTTGCTACAAATAATGAGACACCAGCTTGAGCCAATGAGTCAACATCTGAACATAGAAGAACAAAGTCCGTAACCTTTGTCTATCTCTTTATGCAAGATTGTGGATCGGCTTTCATTTAGTTGCTCTCGGTCCCAAATCCCAATGCATAAAATAAAAATAAATATTACTCAATTACTCTTATAAAATTTGCCCTTTGTGTCGTTCACTTTCCTACTCAAATTCTACATCACAGGCAGTAGGAGAGTTGATAGAGAAAAAAAACCTTGACATCATACCAAGTCTTTCATTTTTGCACATTGCATGAGAAAAGAGGGAAGTAAAATACAAACGCTATTTCAGCAACAGTCCTAAATCTTCAGCAAAATTTAATTTTGAGTTTTCCAACTTGTTGAACTCCAGATGTGCTTAACTTTAATTCCCCAAAATTCCAGCCAGTATAGGTATCACAGGACATTATCTTTATTAATCTGGAAGGAAGCAAGTTGGGAAAGGCTGATCTAGTTTAACTCACAGTTTTACAAATCTGACATAAGCAGGAAAATACACTTTCCATAGTTAGACAATCATTAATGAAGCATCAAATAGGTATTGAAATTTACTGATGATAATAATACAGAAGACCAGTTGGTATTGGTCAAATTGGCACAAATATACATTAAGATTTAATTCAGGAAGTAATTTTATTCAGTGAGCAAGACACCAGCATGAAACAGTTATTAGATTTGTTTACTGAAAGTTAATTACACAGTTGTTGAAGTACAAGTTCCAGCTTGTTAATCTTTTTAAAAGAGAGTGAGAGAGTGCATAGTAGTCATTTGTATGTAGATTAAATCTAAATCTCACTCAAAAGATTGTGGAAATCCTATAGTCAGAGAGACTGGTTTATAACTTTCTAAGTTTTAGCACTTTTGAATAGCAGGAGCCTATTTTTATATGAAAAGAAAGAGTCAGCCCTTACCACATGCCTGTTAATTATTCACCATGTTTATTGTGAGTTTATACATATTAACCAGGGAGACAAATTATTATTTATGTAATGCTATTTTCAAGATTTTATCTTTCGTTATAAGTCAGACAGTTAAGTCAGAATGGTAAATGATAATAATGGCACTAAAGACAGTGTTTTCCAGTAAAATAGATTTATGACAGAAAAATGTGAAGTATTTGAAAGAAGTTAACTCCTTCAACAAGGAAATGCTTTTTTGGTCTATTGGTCTTCTGCAAACTGAAGTAGGGTCTTTTATGGGAGACTTGTGAAAAAACATCCCATATGGCATTGGATTCTTAGTCTGATCTACTTTCAAAGGGCTGACAGTACCAAGAAATAGTGCAGAGATAAAAAGTTTCACAAGTAATATTTAATATTTCAAAAAGTCACTCTCCTAAAAAATCTTTAGTCTCTCTCTAAAAAAATCAATCGAGTAAAAGCTAAAGGTATAGAAAACAGTACAGAATATTGTATGGAAAATTATATAAAACTTAATGAAATTTCTGGAATCTTGAATAGGGAGCATTTACGTTGCAATATTTTGTTGTATATCATTCTGGTTAATATTAAATATGCTGTGTGATACTAATTTACTCAGAGCTGTTCCTACCTGCTGCAAAATCAGTTGGTCTTATCTTCAGTCTTTGTACTCTAGAAGGAAGTCATTTTCTTAAGCTTTTCACAAACATACAAATTGCATTTCAGAAAAGTCCAAGAGTCCCAGCATGAACACAGCTCTTAGAGGGTAGTAGTGATATCAAGAGTTTTTAATGAATGATTTTCTGCAAATCTTGGCTTTTCCCACACTCCTGTTCTGTCACTATGACATCAATTGACTTTATAAATCTCCCGTGTGGAATGTTGGATCAGCAGTCTTCCCAGTGGTATTGAGATTTGGCTTGAGTTCAAAAGCTTGAGGGATGGGATATCAACAATTGCTATTCTTCCTGGCAAAGAACCATTGCCCTGAGTGATTTTTTTCGAGGAATGAAACAGAAATAGCAATACAGTAGCCAGTTTTCATTCCAGGTAAGATTACAGTGCATCAGATACATAATATACACCAAAAAAATGAAGAAATCTCAAAAGCGTGGTGACTAGTTTCGTACCTTGCTTAATTCAGATTAATTTAGCAATAAATAATATGGAATGACTTCAGTATCATTTCAATCCCACCTACCATATTTAAAGGTAGGAAATAGTGAAATTTCCTACTCTCAAGTGTTACTCTTGTTTCTCTCTGATCTTTTTTCCACCTCTCCTTTTCTTACAATGAGATGATTTCAAATCTAGTTTCCTATAGAAAAAAGGGAGGCAGATAGATATAAGTCATAACTGTTGAGTGCGAAACTAGATATGATATAATCAGGTTTTTTTTAGTAATTTTTTTTTATTTTTACATTTTAAAAACATCTCTTTCAGTGAACAATGTGGTTCCAGGTTTTTACACTTTAATATAAATGTGATCTTATCTTTCACATTCAATTCTATATCATATCTTTACTTCCATTTTCCCATAAGTTTTCTGAAATATTCTTATTTTATTTATATTTATTAAATCAATTTTCAATTTATATCTTAATTCCTTTTTCTTTAAATATTCTCATGTCTTATTTTATAGTCTAACAATTTTATTTTGTATTCTAAATTCATCGTACCTTTATGCTTTTATCTGTCACATTTGCAATTTTACCACATACTTATATTTCATTGTTCAGTAAGTTTCATCTTAAATCTAATAATTCCAAAAGCTTCCTCCTTTAATTACCAATTAGAGTGTGCCACCCCTTTCTCTTATACATCCCTCCACCAGACTGTCAAGTATCTGGAAGCCTGCATTCTCAAACAAAAAAATCTCCACACCACAGGCCAAGCAAACACCTGGGCACAAACAGATCCCCCCCCCCCCCGATACCTCCAGCTCAAACACACCCCAACCAGGCACCCAGATGAAACCTAGCTTCCTAATAAATGATAGCCATCCGTTTACTCGGAGCCAAGCCACACTAAAAGCCTCCAATACAGGAAACACAATGTTGCCAGCCA